AAACTGTAAACGTCGCCGGTGCTCTGGTGTGGTTTGCTCCTTCTTTCCTACCTATCAAACATCTATCGTATTATCTCTCCTCCTCCTTTTTTGTGTTTGTTACTCTCTTGCAACACCTCTAATCTGCGGCACTTATATTGCTTAATTGTGTTGCTAGTGCCGCTAAACTCTTACTAAAACTTAAAAAAAAACCCAACATAATATATCAAGGGTGGTTGATGGGTGCCCTTGTGTGACTTGCTCCTTCTTTCCTACCAAACATCCATCGTCCGCATCTCTCCTTTTCTTTGTACGGAACTCTTTCGTAACGCTTCAATCTTCAGCATGCGCTTTTAGTTTGAGTATATATGACCTATGTGTGTTGAACATTGCGAGTTACGCAAAGCTCGGATTGAAGTGAAAGCTAAGTAGATCTAGGTTGCTGGTGAAATCTGTGTCTCGTCAGAGCTCGCACTTTACGCCCTTGTCGTATAGATGTATTAATTCATAAAGGAGAGTGGGTGGTTGGCGGGTGCTCTGGTGTGGATTGCTCCTTCTTTGTTTCCTATCAAATTTCTATCGTCCTTATTTCCCACGTCCTCCTTTTTTGGGGGGTGTGTTTTACCCTCTTGTAACACACCTAATCTTCGGCACTTATACGACCTTATTGTGTTGCGCGTGCCGTAAAACTCTCACTAAAACTGACCTCATAAAGGAGTTCGGAAGCTGGCGAGATCTTTGTGAAGCAGAATAAAAGAATTGTGCCGCGTGTTCTTTCTTTCTATGTCGGTCGACCTCTGTAAGAAGTGCCATAAAAGTTCCCACCTAGTCTAAATGTGTTGCGGGTCAGCGCGTGCAAAAGATGTCGCTGAACCCTATGACGTGCGTCTAGAACCATCTTTTTCTCTTGGATTTTTTTCATGCTCCGATTCCGGGCTGGGTGTCCATGTCTGGCCTGCCTAAATCTACCGATTTTTTCAGGTAGTTACCGATTTTGGGCCCGTTCTACCGCCCTACCGATAAATTAAGGTGTCAAAGTGGGTGGTTGGCGGGTGCTCTGGTGTGGTTTGCTCCTTCTTTGCTATCAAACATCTACCGTTCTTATCTCCCCTCCTTCTTTTTTGTGTTTGTTACTCTCTTGTAAGTGGGTGGTTGGCGGGGGCTCAAGTGCTCAGGTGTGGGTGGTTGGCGGGTGCTCTGGTATGGTTTGCTTCTTCTTTCCTATCAAACACCTATCATCCTTATGTACCCTCCTTTTTTATGTTTGTTACTCGCTTGTAACACCTCTAATCTTCTGGCGCTCATATGACCTTATGCAGTTGCGAGCGCCGTAAAACCTCTACTAAAACAAACAAAAGTGCTCGGGTGTGGTTTGCTCCTTCTTTCCTATCAAACATCTATCGTCCTGATCTCTCTTCCTTCTTTTTTTGTGTTTGTTACTCTCTTGTAACACCTCTATTCTTCGGCATTATATGACCTCTGACTAAAACTAAACAATTCCACTGTGCATAAGAACAGGTTAATGTGCCCCCTTTGAGAATGGCCTAAAGACAACTTCCGTCAGTGGCACATGTAAAAACACCTAAAGTCTAAATCTAAACAGTGGCTTCAACAAACTTTGAACCAGAGGTTTCGTTGTAACAATGTTATGTACAGTGTTATGTACGATGTAGTCAATGTAGATCAAAAGAATTTGTC